CCCTACAGCCCAATACCCACCCAAAGAAGGTGTGGGGTAAGTGCGGTGAAACTTCCCGTGTCCTGGCTCCCAGAGGGGCCATGCCCTGTGTCAGAGTGAACACGGGAACCAACAATCCTACACAATACCACCTGGCAGACAGGATGGCTAGGTTATTTATTTTTTTGCAGAATGTCTTAGGTTGTCTATTTGTACCTTGACCCTGCTGTTGTAGCCTGATTGGCTAATGGGAGTGGTTGTTGCCGTTAAGATATTTGCTGAAGCGGACTTTGTAGTTTTCTTCCTGGGATTGAAACTTAGCCCCTTCTCACAAAATAGAGCTTCTTCTTCTTCTCAAAAATAGAGTTGATTGGGCTTTACACATTGGTTAATGTTATAGAGGGAAAGAAATCTGAAACATTTTTCAATTATTACATACCTTAAGTCACTTTCTTAGACATGTACAGCTTGCATTTATGTTTGAAGACACTCACAAGTTATATACACTTTAAAAATTTTTCTTTTCTATCTAATCATTTACTATGAGGCACAAATGGTTGATTACTGACAACAGTCATTGGTGTAGTAAAAAGTTATGTTGAAACCTGTTAGCTCTTTCAGTTTGAAGTCTGCCAGCAAGGTAAACTGTGTCCGTGTTTGCCTTTCTCAGCAGGAAAAGCAGGGCCTTATTTTTCCATATGAAATGAACTGATCTGGAAGCTGTAGCCTTGGAGGAAGTCACTGGTTAGCATGTTGTTAATATAAAGCTACAGTTAGCCATCAATGTCATCAGATATCTGAGAAGGATAAATTATAGCAGAAAGTATAATCTAAATGGTCTATGTATCGATTAAGAAACTGAGACTTACTGCTACCTGTCCAGTTATCCTAGGCTCCTGTGGTCTCAATGGCTTCACTTGGAGGCAGAAGTAGTCAGTTTTTGGTTGCCACACAGGACAACATTAGCCTTTGGCTGCCAGACCCAGAAGATTTGAGAGATTTTCCTATGGAGAAGAAATCTTCCTTTGACAGAACAGAGTAGAAGAGTCATCCCAAGACTGTCCACAGCTTGAGCAGCAGATGAAGCAATGGGACAGTTTTCCCCAGTAGTTAGCATTACCAAAATTCAGGTTGTATCATCTGTGCCCCATTGTCTTAGGCTCTCAAAAGGGTCCCTACAGGTATCTGGCATTTTTGTCTATAATGTGAAACATTTTTATTAAATATTTTAAATGCCATATTCAGCAAATCTTCAAGGAGTCTGAGAATCATAATTTATTAAGTATACCTGAATTAAATAAACTTTACTTGTTTTTAGTTAGTTCCTTTAGTTTAATCTTGAAAACATATAAAGGAAATTGAATAGAGCTTGTCACTGTAAATGAGTTACATTTGTACTTAGCCTGACTGTGAGCATAGTTCTGAGCATATTAAAGAATTTGATTTTTTTTAATAAGGCGATTGAGCATTAACTTGCATTAGTAACAGCTTACCACAAGTTAGTATCCTTTATAAAACTTGGACTTTATAGCTTTATCCATGGTAAGTTTGAGCTTTACAAATTAGAGTTGAAAATTTAACTGAAGATCTTTTAGGATAAAAATAAAACTTTAAACCATAAATACAGTCTATATATTGACTGAGAATCTTATCCTTTTATAGTTCACTATTACAAAAAAATTTACAGTTTCTTGTATGATTCAGTTTATCCATAAAGCTTAACTAAGTTAGCAAAGACAAAGACTAGACACATTTTCTTTCTTTCCATCCCAGTGCTGGCCCTCCTCATCCCACCCCTCTCACAGAGTCCCTCTTTGCAAACCCTCCCCTTCTCCTCTGAGAGGGTGGGGCTCCCCTTAGATATCCCCCCACCCTGGTATATCAAGACTTTGCACATCCTCTCCCACTGAGGCCAGACAAGGCAGCCTTGTTGGGGAATGAATTCCACAGTCAGACTACAGCTTTAGGGACAGCCCCTGCTCCAGTTGTTGGGGGATTCACACGGAGACTGAGCTGCAAGTCTGCTACATATGTGCTGTCAGCCTTGGTTCAACCCATGTATAGTCTTTGGTTGGTGGCTTAGTTTCTGAGAGCTCCCAGGGGTCCAGGATAGTTTATTATGTTGGTTTTCCTGTGGAGTTCTTATCCCCTTGCAGGCCTTGAGTCCCTGACCTCCATCCAATGTTTTGAGTGTTTTGCTGTGGGTATGTACATCTGTTTCAGTCAGCTGCTAGATAGAGCCTCTCAGAGGACAGTTATGTTAGGCTCCTGTTTGCAATCATAACAGAGTATCATTAATAGTGTCAGGGATTAGTGCTTGCCTATGAGATGGGTGTCAAGTTGGGCTGGTTATTGGTTGGCCATTCTTTTAATCTGCTCTATCATTGCCCCTGCATTTCTTTTAGACAGGACAAATTTTGAGCTGAAAGTTTTGTGGGTGGGTTGGTTAGACATATATTTTCAAGACAGTTACTGTTAATCTGAGTAAACCTTAGGAATTTATAAATCTTATCAAATATATGTTATCTTTCAAACACATTTATTATTTAAAAATTCTACAAGCCTAGTAGTGAACAGTTAGCAAAGACATAAGTGGTTAGACATATACCTCTAAGTCAGTTTCTCTTAACCAGAGAATATCTTTTTAACCTCTTTTTAATTCATTATGATGAATTTCTCATCATGCAAAAGTCCATTCTAACCTAAAATATTTTGGAAACCTTCTGTTGCCTTCTTAGTCTAAAAGGAAATTCACTTAGCTCAGTGGGACTAAAAAGTTTTATAGGTGCTGCCTTAGTTGGAGTATACCATGTGGTCATCTTAATCAAGATGGTGGTAAGGTCATGTGGCATGTACACATTTAAACCTTAGTAAAGATGGGTGGGTGTCAGCCACCTTGGGTGCTTCCATTCTCATGAAGTCATTAGCCAAGATAGAGGCAAGTCACATGATTGCTATTTAAAAACATCTATTTTCCTAGACAAGAGTTGAATTCAAGTTACTTATATAGCAAGTAGATCTATTTTTCTGAGTTGAATCATATAGATAGTATGTTATACTAAATTAAGATTATTCATGAATATATTTTTGCTCTGCTATTAATCTTCTGTTACAAGTTTTAAGCTGAATTTTGTTAAAGATTGTACATTTTTTTAAAAAAAAACAATATCCAATGAACTTACAAATCCTGAGATAGACTGTTTATACAAAATAGTCTTAAAATACTTCTTGAGAGCAGAGAACAGAGAAGTTATAGAGATAAAGGATTCTGAAGTGTGGAAAGTAGAGACTTTGTAGAGCAGGGAATGTTTAGACATAATAGATTTTGGAAATCATCTGTTTGTGCAGGGGTAGGAGTTATACCATAGGAAAGAATTTGAAAATTGACTGTCAGTTTTTGGCCATTGAGTGAGCAGTACTGAGGTCAAGCTGTTTTCAGTAAGACAGTGCGATTATAATAAAATATATTTGAATCTGAGCCGGAAGAGTCACAAAACAAGTACTTCTGCCAGAAGGAGGGTTTCTATAAGTTCCACGAAGAAGCTGAGAGACAGAGAACACTGTAGTTGTAAGAAATAAGAGTCACAAGTAGAATCTCCACCTGAGGGAGGATCTCAATATTGTAGAAGCCCAGAAGGGCTTAAGAAAGCTGTGGAGCTGCAGCTTCTAGGGGGAGGCAAGGAATTTCCAGGTAGGAGCTGAGGACAAAGGGAGCAGAGGGCATAAATGACAAGAATTTAAATCCAGGGTGGCCCCAATGAGACTGAGAAACTTGTGAGAGAAATGTTTCAAATCACACTGGAGGGGTGTACCCTTCCATGGGAGTGCTCTGGCACACCGATGTAACTTTTGTAGTAATAGACAAAGCAGGCAGCTCCAGAGTGACATTTATTCAGTAGAGGAGGAGAGGAGAAAGCAGTTGAAGAAGACTGGGAGATAGTTGCCCATGTGGTATGGCCCCAGAGGGTACAGAAAGCTTGAGATGCAAACATGGTGGGTGCTTCAGAGGGTACAGGGTGCTCCAGCAGTCCAAGAGAGCATACTTACCCAGTAGGTGAGAACATGTGGATGGTTGGAGCAGGTGGTGGGAAGAAGCAGCTGAAGAAGTGGACTCTCGGTTTGGAGTTAAACATGGGTGGTAGAAGTCAGTAGAACAAATGATGTATTCATACACCAGCACAGTCAAATCATCAGCTTGGTTCAGAGAGACTGAGTCCCTACGAAAGGAGTTCATCATGGTTTTAGTGCCAAATAAATAAAAAGACTGAGGACATGACTGCTCCAAGGTATGGTTGAGAAGAAGGGTTTATTGTAGATGTGAGGGAGAGAACAGCCAGAGGTACTGGAAAAAAATCCAAACTGAACATGCAGCAGATTGAACTAGGCTGTGAGAGGAGAGAAGGAGGGGGCAAAGGGAACACCTGGGAACCAAGAAGCACTAAGAGACCAAGGGACTGCATGTCCCAAATGGCTGAATTATATAGGTATCAGAAGCTGGAGGAAGGAAAATGGAAGCCTAACCCCTAAGAGGAAGAGGTTTAGGATGGGGGTAGGGTAAGAACGGCTGGGAGGAGCCATAGGTACTGAGACTTGTACCAGGTTTCTTTGAGACCTAACACTTTGTCCTTGTTCACTTTCCTACCATCTTAACATATATTTACAATTGGAATTCATGGCATGAATAGAGTTGAAACAGAACAGGTAACAACAGAGGCCAAGAATTGTCCTGTACCTCATTTGTGTTAATTTAACTTTTTATTCTTTTCATTAACTTTATTATTAACTGAGGTGGATATTGAGCACTCCCTTCCACGGATTAGGAAAGTGAAAAACACCTAACTTCTGAGTCTGGAAAGGTATATGTAAAGGCTTATCTGTAGAGGCTGCATATTGCATAATAGGTTAAATACAGTTTACTTTCAGAGAATTTGCAGATCAATGTCCATAGGTAATTAAGGGGCACTGCGCAGACAAAGTGTTTCACAAAGTAGATATTTAACAGATTATTTACAGAAAACAACTCAGCAGAATGTTCCCCTTGATGACCTTAAAGAAAGTAGCTTCCCTACCTAACATTAGGTCATTAGGGGATAGCTGTTCTATGGCCCTGATGCAGAAGGGGAAGGGATGTTAAGAAGGGGTCAGGATCTACTCTATAGTGAAAAAGAACTTGTTAAATCCTTTGGGCACACATAAGAGTAGTATTTTTTGTGCTTCTTTTGGACATAGTCATTAGTCCTGGATGGCCTTTCAGGACCTCCTGAATCAAGTTGGCAGCTTGGGGAGATTCCAGATCCTTCAGATGACTTTCATTTTGATCTGCAACATAATAATATCTCCTCATTCTCTATTGGAGAACTTCACAGCAGCCATTCCCAATCATCGCTGCTGGGTACCCATCCTTGACAATGACACTGTCTCTGATAATGACAGTGGGATCCTGAGCCAAGAAGACCTCCTGAGGGTCTCTATCCCCCTGGACTCCAACCTGAGACTAGAGAAGTGTCGTCGCTTCATCCAACCACAGTGGCATCTCCTTCATCTGAATGGTACCTTCTCCAGTGTGACAGAGCCAGACACTGAGCCCTGTGTGGATGGCTGGGTGTATGACCAAAACACCTTCCTCTCCACCACTGTTACTGAGGTAAGTGACTTCATTTCCTGTCATACATCCATGACAGGTGTTTAGCAATAGCATGGATAGTACACATGCTTTGAGCTTAGATTTCATCTTTTAGCCAATATTGATTACTTATCTGTTAAATGTGAGACGTTTTCAATGAGTCTGATAACTGATAAAGGATAGGGACCTGTTCTCCTGGTCATTTCACTCTAGGGGATGACCACAGTTTAAGAAGTAATTCTTATATATCAAATCAGTTTAAGCAAATAATTTATGTGCTGTGTTATAAATATTGCAAGTTGGTTTTTATTTTTCAGCTTTGATTTCAAATAAGAAGTATTTAGGAGATTGACTAAAACCATAGTGAGTAGTTTGGGAGTATGGCTCATTGGTAGAATGTCTGTGTGGCATGTATGAGCTCAGGATTCCATCCTTAACACTCTAAAGTCTCAGTACTTTACCTTCTGTGATAGGGTAGAATGGGGCTGGGCTCCAACTTCAGTATTGTCAACATATCTATATCTAAACATATATAGATTTATATCTAGTCTATGTATCTATGTATCTACATATGTACGTATCTATCTATCTATCTATCTATCTATCTATCTATCTATCTATCTAT